GCTCAGGCAATCCTCTCATCTCAGCCTCCTAAAGTGCTGGGATTACAGACGTGAGCCACCTCGTCCGGCTTATTTTTATTTTATTTTATTTTATTTTTTGAGTTGGAGTCTCACTCTGTCGCCCAGGCCGGAGTGCAGGGGCATGCTCACGGCCACCACAGCCTCAACCTGTTGGGCTCAGGTGATCTTTCCATTTCAACCTTCCAAGTAGCTGGAACTACAGGCGCAAGCCACCATGCCTGATTAATTTTTTAATTTTTATTGTAGAGATGAGGTCTCACCAAGTTGCCCAGGCGGGTCTCTAACCCGCGGGCTTAAGCAATCCACTCACCTCAGCCTCCCAAGGCGTGGGATTACAGACTGAGCCACCGAGCCCGGCTATTTCTTTTTTTTTTTTGAGTTGGAGTCTCACTCTGTCGTCCAGACTGGTGTGCAGTGGCCGCTCCCCGCCACCGCAGCCTCAACCTGCTGGGCTCTGGCGATCTTTCCGCCTCAGCCTTCCAGGTAACTGGAATTACAGGCGTGCACTACCACACCCAGCTAATTTTGGGATTTATTGTAGAGATGAGGTCTCATCAAGTTGCCCAGGCAGGTCTCGAACCCGTGGGCTCAGGCAATCCACTCACCTCAGCCCCCTGCGGGATTACAGGCTAAGCCACCGAGCCTGGCTTATTTTTATTTTAAAATTAAATTAAATTAATTCATTTCTGAGTCGAGGTCTCACTCTATCACCCAGACTGGAGTTCATTGGCACAAACATGGTTCATTATAGCCTCGACTTCCTGGGTTCAGGCGATCCTATTACCTTAGCCTCTCAGGTAGCTGCAACCACAGGCATGCACTACCACCCCGGCTAATCTTTTAAATTTCTTGTAGAGATGAGGTCTTGCTGGCTTTGAACTTCTGGGCTCAAGCAATCCTCCTGCGTTGGCCTCCCACAGTGTTGGGATTACAGGTATGAGCCACTATGTCTGGCCAAATTAAACAAAACTATTTGGGGCCTGGGTGCTATGGCTCATGCCTGTCTGTAATCCCAGCACTCTAGGAGGCAGAGGTGGAGGATAGCTTGAGCCCAGGAGTTTGAGACCAGCCTGGGCAACATAGTAAGACCTCGTCTTTACAAAAAACAGAGCACGCCTATAATCCCAGGTACTTTTCAGGAGGCTGAGGTGGAAGGACTGCCTGAGCCCAGGAGTTGGAGGCCGTGGTGAGCTGTGATCGTGTCACCACCCTCCAGCTTGGGCAACAGAGTAAAATCCCTATTCAAAAAAAATTTTTTTAAATTTTTTGTAAGGCACGGTCTTGCTATGTTGTCTAGGCTGATCTCAAACTTCTGGCGTTAAATGATCCTCCTGCCTCAGCCTCCCAAAGTATTGGGATTACAGGTGTGAGCCACCACACCTGGCTTCTGCTTTAGTAATATGACAAGAAAAAAAAAGAGGTGGAGTCTCTTTCCCCTCCTTCTTGAAACTAGTCACAGGCAGCAGAAGTAACACTGTGTGGCTTCCAGGCCCTTGGAGGTTTGATCTCCACTCTTTGGCCACCCCATCCTGCTAGAGAGAAAGCAGGTAGGCAGAACTCAGCTGCTGGTTTCAGCCACCCCAGCGACGATGTCACACAGCCCTGGGAAGCCACCTCGGCAGCTCCAGCTTCTGTCGAGCTGCCCAGCCAAGGCCACGTGGGGCAGAGATGAGCTGCCAAAACCAAGGACTAAGTTTTGGGATGGTGGAGAAGTGGGCGGTGAAAAATCCCACGAGGGGCTCAATTAACTTTGTCTCTTCTCATTTCAGGTGGGGGTCCTCTCCATAACACCCTCCAGTGGTTACCCATCTCCCTCAGAGCTCTGGCCAGCGCCTACAAGGCTCTGTCCCCCACACCCCTTTCCTCTTTGACTGTCACCTCTCTCTACTCTTCCTGTGCTCCCTCCCTCTACCCTGGCAGGGCCTGTGTGCAAAAATACACGTGTGAAGTGGTGGTAGGTGCCATGAAGAAAAAAATAAAGCTGGGAAAGAGAAATAAAAGATTGCTACGTAACACAGAGTGGCTTGGGAGCGCTTCCGTGACAAGGTGACATTTCCTTTATCCCTGATGTCTACAAGGCCACTCCCTCACCTCCTTCAGTTCTTCACTCAGGTGCCACCTTTTTTTTTTGAGTTGGAGTCTCACTCTGTCTGTCTTGAGTCAGGGTCTCACTCTGTCATCCAGGCCGAACTGCAGTGGCATAATCAAGGCTGACTTCAGCCTCCACCCACCCGGACTCAGGTGATCTTCCTGCCTCAGTCTCCCGAGTAGCTGGGACTAGAAGCGCACGCCACCCTGACTGGCTAATTTTGTTTTTGCTTTGCTTTTGTGCTTTGTTTGGTTTTGAGTCGGAGTCTCCCTCTGTCGCCCAGACTGGAGGGCAGCGGCCGCTCCCGGCCACCGCAGCCTCGACCCGCTGGGCTCCGGCGATCCTTCCGCCTCAGCCTTCCGAGGAGCCGGAATCACAGGCGCGTGCCACCCCGCCCGGCTGATTTTTTGCTTTATTGTACAGATGAGGCCTCTCTGCCCAGGCGGGACTCGAACCCGCGGGCTCAGGCCATCCACTCACCTCCGCCTCCCAAAGGCGCCGGACGACAGGCTGAGCCGCCGAGCCCGGCTGGGTGCCACCTTCTTGCTGTGACCTCCCTTCCTTCCTAGCCAGTCTGTTTAAAACTGCAACACCTCGTGCCCCATCCCTGTCTCCTGATGTTACTTTTCTCTGTAGCATTGACCAGTGACTCGCAGCCTTTAATTTCAGGGACTTCTCTCGTGTGTTTTCTGCTAGAACTTAAGGCCCGTGAAAGATTTCTGCCGGTCTTGGCTATCCGCTGTGTCTCCAGCGTCCAGCACACAGCATCCGTAGCAGGCCCTTCCCTACGTTTTCTGCAGAGTGAACGAACGAAGGGCCGCCGTGTCACAGAGGATCTCTCCAACCGCTCTTCGCGCAGCAACCTCGACTTCTCTCGCCCAGCTCCATTTTTCTCCACGGCGCGTATCACCTTTTCACACGGATTTGTTCGCAGTCTCCCCCCAGGAGAGGGAAAGTTCCCGTCACAGCGCGGGCTTAAATCTGTTTTCAGCCGGGCTCGGTGGCTCGGCCTGTCCTCCCGCGCCTTTGGGAGGCCGAGGTGAGGGGATGGCCCGAGCCCGCGGGTTCGAGACCCGCCGGGGCAGCGAGACCTCATCTCTGCCATAAACCAAAAAATCAGCCGGGCGTGGTGGCGCGCGCCTGTCATTCTGGCTCCTCGGAAGGCGGAGGCGGCAGGATCGCGGAGCCCGGCGGGTCGAGGCTGCGGGGGCCGGGAGCGGCCGCTGCGCTCCAGTCCGGGCGACGGAGCGAGGCTCCGACTCAAAAAGAAAGAAAGGAGGAGGGAGGGAAGAAGGGAGCCCGGCCCGCCCGGCCCGCCCGGCCCTGACGCTGCCTCCCGTCCCCCGAGGTGGGCCTGGTCAGCGGCATCTCCCTCATCGTGGGCACCATCATCGGCTCCGGCATCTTCATCTCGCCCAAGTCTGTGCTGAGCAACACGGAGGCCGTGGGGCCCTGCCTGCT